GCGCACTGGGCTGCCTGGGCCGTCCACTCTGAGCTCTGGTTCCCTCCCCCACCTACTTCCTTCCTCAACCCCAGAAGGGGCCTGGAGGCAGGTACCCAGCCAAGCCACTTTCTTCCTGACCCTAGGGTGGCCAGGACTGGGTGCCTGGGGGGCTTCTGTGACAGGCCAGGAAGCCAGGTAGGGGCAGACCCAGGTGCCCTCCACTCTAGACAGGGCCCCCCTTTGCCCCCTGCCTTGCCATCTGTGGAGCAGCTGCGTGAGCTCCCGGGTGGGACAGCTGGGGTGCAGGGGGCCGCCTGCAACATGTGGCCTGGGGTGACAGCCTCCCAGGCTCTCCCGAGATGGGGGTGCTGCCAGAGGTGGCTCCCTCCGGGACTCAGAGTGGGGGCGGATGGTGGAACTGGCCGGGCAGAGGTGGGCTGTGTGGGCTGGCCTGTCCTGGGTGGGTCCGAGCAGGGTGGGCGGCACAGCTGGCGCCATGTCAGGGAACCTGGGCCCCTCCCTCCCCGCCCACCCCAGCTGCCTGGCTGGGACCACCCACAGGGCTGATGAAAGGGGATTCTGTTCCTGGGGGGCTCAGCTGGAGGGGAGCCGTGGCGGCAGGGGCACACGCACCAGTCCTGGCCGTCTGCCCGGCCAGCCTCTCAGGTCCATTCCTACCTTGCTGTCCACTACCCAACCTGGGCGGGCTGCAGGGGTGGGGGTCGCACTGTTCTGAGCCCCACGCTCCAGCATCCTACGGGCTGCACACATCCCCCCCTCCCCCCCGCTCCCAAGGTCTCAGGGCTCCCCTGAGATCCTGCATGAAGGCCAGCTCCTCCAGTGACCCTGGGGTCAGGAGGGCCGATTCTCAAGGCCACAAGAAGCCTCTGGCTACAGTAAGGATGGCCAGGGTGGGGGTTCCTGTGCAGCAGGAGTCAACCCCTCCCTCACCCTGTCTTCATCAGCTCCACCCCAGGGCATGGGCTGGGGCAGGGAGCCAGAGCAAGAGGCACCCCGTGAAGGTGGAGGGGCTGGCCCCGGGGGAGGTGTTCAGAGGCCATATGGCCATCAGGGAGACCAAGGCCCTGGAGGAGGAGGACGAGCCTCGCCCAGCGGATGGAGCCGAGTGGAAAGCCTGGGTCCACAGGAGTGGGCGAGGCTGGGTGGGCCTCTGCCCTCGCAGACCCCTCCTCTGCCCTTAGAGCCTGCCCTTAGTCCCCATGCGGGACTCCCCTTGGGCTCCTGCTGGCCCCGTCATTGCAGAAGCTGCTCAGGACCTGGACCCAGGGTCGGCCCAGAGCAGGCAGCCGCATGGCAGGACTGTAGCGACCAGGCCTTGGCCGCCTGCCCTTGCCTAGTGAGTGGACGAGGCACTTGCCTCTCCGGCCCGAAGCCACGTCAGCCTTGCCTCCACACACCAGCTGAGCAGCTCTGCCTCAGTTCCCCTGTCCGCCCCAACGTGACACGGGCCAAGTACTGCCAACCAAGCAGAGCACGCCCCTCCTTGTCCCTGTGCACCTAAGGCTATGGCCTGGGCCACCTTCTGACACCCCTGGGTCTGATGGGCAGATGCTCCTGTCCACTGCTAGAGGGACTGTGGCCCGTGGCCCAAGCACCGTGACACTCGTAGGGCAGGGCAGGGTAGGCCTGGGCAGAGTCCCTGGCTGTCAGCCGCTCTCCAGGGTGCCTGCAAAGGTTTGGGGTTGTGCCTCGTTGCTCCTGGCTCCAGGCTCTGAGAATTCCCAGCTACCCTCTCAGCCTTTGTGTGGGAGCCCAGGGTCCAGGACTGTCCAGGGCTGATGGAGTCTAGGGCAGGCGGCCTGCGTTTCTGGTCCCAGAGACACCTGCACCTTGGCCTGCTCTTCGCTGTTCCTCAGGGCCTGCCCCACCTTGTACCTGGTGGCTGCGGGAGTACCTGAGCCAGGACCATGCAGGCTGCAGATAAGGCGGTGGGAATGCCCCGAGGGGCTGAGCCTCCAGAACTTATAGCCCAGTGCCCACACGCGGGTTCAGTTCGGGGAGTTGCACTATGAAGACACAGCCTGGATGTCCAGGGCTGTGATGGCCTGGGGTAAGGGGCTTGTGGGCTGACGTGGGGTGTTTGACTTGGGAGGGTCTATTGTGCGGTCACCCCTCCAGATGCTAAAGCAGGGATGGTACGTGCCCTGCGAATGCACCGTCTAGGCCCCGCCTGTACCAGGACAGACATCACTAGTCAATCGCAGCACGTCGTGAGCTCTTGCAGTAGTGGTCTGAGTCCTGACCCCAGCGCTCTGCGTGCGACTGCCATCCAGTAGATGTGCTGCAGGCCAGGCCTGTCGACACTTGGCTCAGGTGTCCCTCCAGGGAGGTGGCTCTGGCATGCATCCAGATGGAGGCTGCTGGTGCGGAGCGGCCAAGGGCCCCAGGTGCCCCTGCAGTGGGAAGTCTAGGCAGTCTCGTCCAGGAAGACCCGGAGCAGCCCCCATCTCTGGTAGCAGGGCTGGTCCCACCCCCGAAGGCAAGCAGGAAGGGTGGCACCTGGACCCCAAGGGCAGAGGTGCCGTGGGTGCCAGCTGCCAGCACGGGCCACGTGTCCCATGGAGCCGCCCCCTTCCTCCCTGGCTGAGGCATATGCTCAGCCCTCAGGGACCCTAACACTTGCCTTTTCTCTGGGGATGGCGGAGTCCCCGCCTTGGCCACCCACTTTCTACCCCGGGTGCTCCCCGCGTAGAGTTCACAGCTGTCCTTGGAGCCTACTACGCGCCGGTGTCCTCCCACCCACCTACACCTCCCCGGCCGTTGGCCCTAGCCCTCCCCGGTATGGCCAGCCAGGGCAGGGGTGTTGGAAGGCCTGGCTGTGTGGCCACCCCGCCCCCGCCCCATTG